ACAATGGGGGCCTAAGTTTGTTGGTATTCGGTTTCACTGGGAGCGGTGGAGGGGCTTATGACCATGGGTTGTGGATGGGGAAGAAGGGATGGTGGAGGATCAGGCAAGAAAGGGTTAAGTAGGGAAGGGTCAAGGGGAGGTGCAGTAGGGATAAAGGGGAGAGACCCAGAATCAACAGAGCAGGAGAAGGAGCAGAGGGGAGGGTCCTACTCCTTCCTGGCCAGGGAAAGTGCAATAAGACAACAGTGTCCTCAACACAGCTGTTGATAATGGGAAGATGCTCCTTTCCAAGGGTCAGGAGGTTGCACTGCTTTTGCAGGCCATCGTTTTGGTACTGAGCCATAAATGTTTGAAATATGGAATTGATTCGCACTTCTGTCATGGGCAAAATAAATCCAATAACAAAACAGTATTGTAGCTTAAGTCCCCTTAAAGTATCACATTTCCTGTCTTAAAAAAAAATTTATTTATGAATACAGAACTGGGGTACAAGCCAGGGGTGCAGGGGTGGTGAGAGGATTCACCAGAGACAGAGTGGGGAGCAGAACAGGCTGACTGATGAAGTACACTGCTGAGGGGAGCAGCAGGCGGGTCAGGAGGGGTCTGCTGCGCCATGTGGACCACCTCCGGGCCGGGGATCAAACCCGTTCAGAAACGCTGTGGCCAGCTTGCAGCGTTGCGTCCTAACCCATTGAGCCACCATTGTGCCCTGCCCTCCTTGTCTTCTAATTGCTCTTCTGGCCATGCAACACAGCAGAGAAAGAGCGATTGACTTTTGGTGGTTGGAGGTGGGAGAAGCCTTCCAAGGGCATGAAGTACATACAGCCTGGGCTGTGCACAAGTCCCTGGAAGTCGTCCCTGGCTCCCACACTGGAGGAATAGGTGGGTGAAGCCACACAGGTGAAGCCAGTTGCCTAAGTGATTTTGCACAATTTGTGTCTTTGAGTCAAAGAAGAATTTAAACCCTGAAAGAGGTTGTTGATTGCCACCCACGTTGTCTACCTTGACAGTGAAGGTCTGGGCATCCCCAGATGTAGGAAGAGGTAATGAAAACCTCTGCTTTCTCAATTTACCTTATCTTTTAGCTGAACCGTTTTCTTCAGTGTACATGTCTGGCAGGGCGCTGTGAATTGGCTGTGTTGTTCAGACCTCTTTCAGGATCAGGCACTGGCTGAGCCCCCTGAGAACTCCAGAACCATCTTACTCAAGACCAAAAGCAGGCACTTTCCTCCCCAGAGGATCCAATAATGGGAGTTTTTGTCACCACTTGGTCACAAGAGGACACAAGAAAAGAGGACAGCCTCTACCTGGCATCATGAACACCAGATGAGTGGTCCAAAGGAGAGGGACACATTGACCCTTTGTGGCTGCCAGATTTGTCAGCATCCTTACCTGGATTTATTGACATGATGGAAGGAATTTAGGGAGAAACCTAATTAGAGCTACAAGCAAGGAAGCTTACTGTGGGTCCTATGGGTTACAACTGAGTTACTTTGTTGGCCTGAGAACGGCAGGGCTACTGGTTTTGTGGTTGATCACCAGGGTGGGGTAACTGGGGGATGCAGGGTATTGGCTGGCGAGGGTTTTGCGGTTTTCAAAACAAACAAGGAAAAAGTTAACTTCAGACAAAGGTAAGAAACAAAGACCAGGTTCCAGAGACCCTGGGACAAACTGGAATATAAAATGCAGAATCAAGAGTTTGACAATATTTAACACATGTTTGTTCTTCCCTGTCATTTTTATTGTAGTAATGATTCATGATAAAAGCTTCAGAAAATCAGAATGGAGGTGGTAGTGCTTGGGGATATCTGACTCTTAAAAACCATAAAGCCAAGTTCGTCAGATACATGATAGATAGATTGATGGACACATAGATGAGACATGTGGGGTGTGTGTATGAAGTATGCTGTGCTCCACGGCTCCAGTCTTGGCTGCTCACACTTGGAGACACTTGGAGTGCTAGGTGGCACATTCTATCTTCATGTAGCCAATCTGGAGGAGCTCTGAGTGATCAGGGTCACCACTGCCACCTAAAAAATTTGACCTGACATGGGCTCACCAGGTTGGCGATTGGCTGTGACTTTGGCACCCACACTCCCACGATTAGCTTTCGTTTTGAGAGGGGTGTCTACAGAACAGTTCCAAAGGGAAACCAGAACCAGAGGACATGATTCAATCTCACTTGAGAACGTAATTCACAAATTCAATGACAGAAATTGGAGAGTTTTCTAGGAATTTCTGTTTTAGATGTGACGGGAGACTATGTTGAGATGGAAGTGACCTGCTGAGAAATGCCCCTCCTCTTTGCCCTGTGAAATAGCGTATATGAACCACTTGGTAATGACAATGTCTATAGACTCTTGGCCTACAGGTGCTGACGTGATGACTGTCACACTGGTCACGGTCAGTGGAGATCCCTTCCTTAATGGCGGAAGCAATGACAGCTCTGGAAACCAACTTGCTTAACCAAGGGGTATGAATTAGGTTGATTTCAGCATTACTTTGCTTCCAAAAGGGTAACTGGTTAACTGTTTCAGTCACTACTTCTTCCTCACTCTCCTTTTCTCCCTCTTTTTCCAATGATAGAACCACATTTCCTGGAAAGCTTCCTGGTTGGTTGGCCACCTGCCTCATTTTAAGTATCAGTTAACATATTTGATCATTCAAGGCTTAGTAAGTCCCATAGTTAGCAGGAAGAATTGAGAAAGACATGAAAGGATTGATCATAGCATACACAGGAATGTGTCTTCAGAGACTGATTTAAACCAAGTTGGATGGAAAAGAGCCGTGAGAGAAAAATATGGCAGGTTGAGGGGGCTGGGAGCAAAAGGAGAAGAGAGAATGAAGTCGCAAATGTGTTTTAACAATTACAGTCTATAAGACTTAAATACTTCTAGAAAGAGAGTGGGAGAAAAACATATGTGATCATTCTAACAATTCATATTTTCCCCTAGATTTCAGATTTCCAGTGTATTGATTCTCTCTCTTTTCTCCAACCCTTTTTTAATCATTTAAATGAGTAAATGATGAGTCTACTAAATGATGAATCTAAATGCCTTATGGTATCTTATAGTTATGAAGGTATATTCTATTTAAATGTTATATTTATTTTTGATTTAATGAATTTTTTTATACTCAAATGTTTTTCTGTTTATTTTGACTTTGGGGTCACATTTTGCTTTTCCAAATGTGCACATGTTCCACTCCCTTAGGATTTACCTATGAAATAAGAAAGGATTTATTTCTTGAAAAAGGAATTTCAGGCACCAGTAGTCTCAGGGAGTACTGGGGGCAGGTGAGATGGGGCATCTAGACTCCATTAATCAGTTGTCCTCACATTCTATAGAAACATGATGCCCATATTGTAAGCCAGATTGGGCACCTTCACCTGCCATGGTCCCCAAAGAAAAGCTTTAGTGTCCAAGGCTACAGTAAAGAAAAATGTTAGGATTGATGGAGGGACTGTAGAAGAATTTTTGAGTGCTAAGTCTGTGATAGGTGGACATGAAATTCTTTGTGAGCACTTGAGAACATATTAAAACACTGTTTTCTAAACTTTAGTTTTCCCCTTAAGATCCATTATATTTGTCATAATTACACATCTTATATTCACATCAGATAGGACAATCTGAGTTACTTCACCTCCTATTTAAGGATTAATCTCATCCCAAAACACCACTGCAGAAACACTCATAGTGATACTGGATCAAATATCTCTGCTTTACTTTGGGCACTTCTGTGAAACTGACAAGTAAATTAACCATCCCACCTGCCTCTTAGCACACTGAGGAATTGTGTGAAGAAGTTAGTAGAAACAGTTATTTGACATGTATTCTACTGTGATCAATGTGGGAAAATTCTAAAAATAAGTAAAACTATAATACCAACTCTATGTGCAATGATTAAGAAGTTGTACATGAATAGCAATTAATTTTAATGATTTTAATCATTACTAATGATTCCAATGTGTTTGACTGTCAAACAATATGTTTTTAATTTGTAGATCTTATATATATATAAAATTAGTTGCTTATTGGATTAAGTTTTCTGTGATTTCAAAGGGATAGGAAGCCAGAACATTTGAACTCTACTAAGTTTTCTCCAAAAATTGAAGTAGTGACCTCTTTTTCTCTTCAAAAAGTAGTGAGTTGGGAGAAATTATATAGGAGCAGGTAACAGTCATGTTGAGTAGGTATGAGCAAAAAAAAACAAACAACAACAACAAAAAACAACTCTGCTTTCTGTTGAAGGTGTGGGGGAGTAAGCTATAAGGACATCTGAATCCCAGTGATGACACTTTGGCTCTAGTAGCCTTTGAGATTCCATGTGGCCCAAGGTGGCACCAATCTATAGAGATGACGGGCAATGGTATGATGTTCTTAATTTGATGGACTAAAGCAGTGAAAATAGGACGCTGGAGGGCACCACTTTACTGAAGGTCTCTGCCTAGCATTGAGGGAAAGACTACTGACATCATCTGCAGCTTTACTTCAGCCTATTTTAGAAGAAAATCAGATGTTAGCAAACCTTAGGGTCAAGAGGAAGTGCATTATAGAAGAATTAGGATAAAGAGAAAGGTGCTAATAGGTAGCAGCTGGTAGACAGGCAGACACTTCAGGTCAACACGTACAACAAAATGGCAGCCAACAATTGCAGAACAGAATGGGTAGCTTTAGGCCCAGGAAGGAGGAAAGATAGGAAAGAGTTGCCTTTCCCAACCCTTTGACCACCAGTCAGAGGGCCCCCTAAATTCTCCCTCTGCCACAAATCACTGTTGCTGAGAGTCACAGCAGGCCTCTGTGAGTCAGGAGTTGTCAGTGACAGATCCTGGAACAGGGTATTTCCTGCTTTCAGGTTCCCTGTCTGGCCAGTTATGGATGCATTTGCATTTGAGTTAGGAAATAACTGACCCAGGCCAGTTTTAGTCAGATCCACTCCCCTTGGGTGGGGCAGCAGGCCCTATAAAGGAGCCCTCTGCTGCAGGATTAGCATCCTCTGCTCCCGGAGAGTCCTGATCCACTTTGGAGAAGTGGTGAGTCTGATTTCTTGAGTTTCTATTTTTGGTGCTCTAAAATGTTGACTATAATCTGGAGGGTCCAGAGTTAGGATATTGGGTTGATGCTATTTAGAATCTGGGTGCAATATAAAGTGTTTTCATTTGGTTTTGGTAGCTAGCTTGGGCATCCCCTATGGAAAAAGAATAGGGAAACTGCCATGAAGAAAAGACAAAATATTTTTTTCTCATCTATATCTTTTTGGCACCTTCCTCTGTGATTTCAAAGACGAATACCTTAGAGGGTGTTAGGCCTGGCATTCTACCCTGCCACCGTACACTATACCTAAGTCAGCCTATTGATACCTCATGAGAGATAATAATAAGAATTGCTTGTGCGATTGTTCAGGATATTGTTCAGGATTTCAGAACGTGTCACTACCTTGCCCAAAGGTGCTATTTTCACACAAATTCCATTGCTTGGTTCTGTCAAACAGATATTTACTTTGGGGAAAATTTATGAGCAAAGAGAATGTTTACTTAGGGCTGATGAAGCAGTGTGATAAAGAGCAATGGAGATGCCAGAAAAATCATCAATTAAGAGTTAAGAGATGGAATCTTATTTTGGAGACAACAGGAATACTGTACCAAGGTAGTACGTAAGTTTTGGCTTCTCTCTCCAGAAGCCCTTATTTAAAGTCCTGATTTTTACTTACTTATATTTTTATTGAGATAACATTGGTTTACAAAACTGTACGATTCAGAGACATAGGATAGCACCTCTTCGTATGCATGTCGCCACACTACACGCATCACCAAGGCCTCCATAGATCCCTCCCAGCGGGTGCTGGGCCTCCTCTCCTCTTTAATCTCCACTTTTCCCTCTGATAGCCTCAAATTTATGGTTACATTTCTAGGTTTTTTTTTTTTTTTTTGGTTTGATTTTAATGAACATTGTCATGTTATTTCTATTATTTCTTTCAGACCCTGAGACTGAAGAACGATGTCTTATCAACAGCAGCAATGCAAGCAGCCCTGCCAGCCACCTCCTGTGTGCCCACCCAAGTGTCCTGAGCCCTGTCCACCTCCCAAGTGCCCTGAGCCCTGCCCACCTCCCAAGTGCCCTGAGCCCTGCCCACCCCCAAAGTGCCCTGAGCCTTGCCCACCTCAGCAGGGCCAGCAGAAATGCCCTCCTGTGCAACCTCCTCCACCCTGCCAGCAGAAGTGCCCACCTAAGAGCAAGTAACTGCTTCAGGATGCATCAGGAACAGGGAAGAATAAGGACAATTGGCTCACCTGGCTCCACAGCCCCACCTGTCTTCTCTTCAAAGCCTGTCACGGATGAGGTTTTCCCTTAGCCTGTAGTAGATGGCGAGGATTCCAACAGGGAAAGGTTTCCCTCTAGCGGCTGTAACGCCGGTACTTTCCAGAAGGCGGCTGGAAAAGGGTGATCCTGGGCTGTGCCAGCCTCCCTGAGCTGCAGAAGCAGGAGCAGCAAGCAGAAGCCGGAGCAGCAAGCATCCTGGGAATCGAAGATTCTCTCCGACGTCTTCTGTGTCTGTTACTTGGGCAGGGGTTTCTACCATCTGGGCAATTGTAATTGTTCTTCCACTTCCTGATGCCTGTGTTATCCCCTTTAATCACTGTTCGATTTGATATAGAAACTAGTCTTTTGGTGGTGATCAGAACGTAGTATGTGCAAATGTTGAATTATAATGCTATAGGCTACGCAGTGTTCATTATGTACCTGAAATCTAAATAGTGTCACACATCAATGTTACTGAAATAAAAAATATTCAAAAATCTGTTATTTTCCTTTGTTACTGGTTTATTGATTTGAAGAACAAATTATATAATTCCTCAGGACAGCAATTTTTCTACTACAAAGGGGAGATGATAATTACATTACAAACTTTTCTCAGGAACAAAATTGAATCAACATACGCAATTTAGTTGGCACAAAATCACACTCCCTGGGGCTTTAGATTGTCGTCATCACCATCATCATTGTCACCACTATCACTACTTCCACCAAATTTGTTCTGGTAGGACAGTGGATCAAACATGATTGGTACAGGAAACAAGAGGATTCAAAACCTTTTTATTTTTTCATAGTCTGTTGTTCTCTTTACTTTGTTTTTGGCAATACTTCAGGTAGAGCTGTTGGGAATTAGTGGAGTAGTCTGCAAACAGTATAGTAGTTCTTAAAACATGAAGAAGAGTGTAGAAGAAAGGGAACAGTGTGTAGGAACGACTTGCTGCCTCCTCTCCAGGTGAGCCACTTGCCCTTCTGACATCAACACCCACCAAAATTCAGAGTCCTACTCTGCACTCACTACTGAAATTAGTGGAGAGTTTGACCCTACACTTGAAGTTTATTGAGCTTTGCTAATTTACTACTCTGCAACTTGTTTTTAAATGTTCAATCTACTGGTCAAGTAGGTTGCAAAAAAGAAAACTAAGTTGTTTTTTTTTAATAAATTGCATTATTTTTATTGAGGTAATGCTAGCCAACATAGAGCCTTATAGCCAACTACATGGTTTAGGAGTCAGGTTCATACTGCTGCAGGGTAAGTCACCACAACAATTGGACATGTAACAGTAGCAATTTAATCTTCCATGGGAGTTCATTGGCCTCCCTCCTCCTTTGACCTCTACTCTCCATCTTCCCGTTATGATAGACTCAATGATGCAGTCAGATTTCTAGAACTTGTTTGGCTTTATTTTGTCTGTTTCTTTTCTGTTTTGTTTTGTTTTATTTGTATTCCACACATGCATGAAACCACCCTGCATTTGTCTGTCTCCTTCTGACTTATTTCATTTAATATAATCTCCTCCAGTTCCATCCATGTTTTGCAAATAGCAATAGTTTGTCTTTTTTTTTTTTTACAACTAGGTAGTATACACACACACACACACACACACACACACACACATATATATATATATATATGTCACAGCTTCTTTATCCACTCACCTGTTGTTGGATACTAAATTTCTTCCATAGCTTGGCTACTGTAAATAATACTGTGGTGATTTAGGATGTATATTTTAGGATGTATACACACACACACACACACACATCCCTTTGAATTGCTGTTTTTTGTATATTTGGGAAGATACCTAGAGATTGATGGATCACAAGGCAAATCGAGTTTTCATAGTTCAAGAAATCTCCATATTGTATTCTATAGGGGCTGGATTAATCTACATTTCCACCGTGTGTTTAAAATTTCCATTTTCTCATTGACCTTGCCAACATTTGTTGTTTCTGGTCTTTTTGATGTGAGTCATTCTCTTAAGTATGAGGTTGTATTTCATTGTGCTTTTGATTTGCATTTCCCTGATAAGTGATAATGAACATTTTTTTTCCCCCTGTGCTTATTTGCCACTTGCATGTGTTTTTTGGAGAAGTGACTATCTCTTGACATTTTTTCATCAGTTTTTTTTGTTTTGTCTTATTGAATTGTATGATTTCTTTGTAGATCTTGGATTTTATCCCCTTGTTAGAAGTATAATGTGCAAATATTTCCCCACTCAATAAGGTGTGTCTACACTTCACTGATAATTTATTTTACTGTGCAAAATATTTTTAGTTTGATGTTATCCCACTTGTTATTTTTGATTTTGTTCCTTTGCCATTGGAAATGTCCCAAAGATATTACTGAAGCCAATGTTATGTTTCACTTATGTTTTCTTCTATACATCTTTTGGTTTTCAAGTATTTTCCTACCTACTACTATTTTTTTCGAGTCTGTAATACATTTCAAGTTAAATTTTGTGTATGGTGTGTGATAGTGGTCTAGTTTCATTCTTCTGCATGTGACTGTCCAGCTTTCCTAACCATTCATTGAAGGTACTTTCCTTTCTCTTCAGCATATTCTTGTCTCCTTTATCATAATTTAACTATCTGGCTTATTTCTTGGCTTTTGATTCTATTTCATTCATCTTTGTGTAAATTTTTATTCCAATACCATGCTGTTTTGATTATTATAACATTGTAGTGTCATTTGCAGTATGGCAATGTGATACTGCCATTCTTTTTCTTTGGTTATTTGGAGTTCTTTGTGGTTCCATAGACATTTCTGTAATGTTTGCTTTTTTGAAAGATGCCATTGAAATTTTGATAAAGGTATTGAATCTGCTCTTTGCTTTGGGTTAAGATGACCATTTTAACAATCTTAATTCTTTCAATCCATGAGCAAGAAATCTTTTCATCTTTTTGTGTCTTCTATTTCTTTTAACAATGTCACAGTTTTTGTTCTATAGATCTTCCATCTCCTTTGTTAGGTTTATTACTAGGTATTTAATTTTTTTGATGTGGTTGTAAATGAGATTGTTATTTTTATTTCTTTCTCATCTAGTTCATTGTTTACATATAGAAAGACACCAGACTATTTTGTATATTGATTTTATAATATGCAAGCTCACTGTACTGATTTATTAATTCTAACAGATTTTTAGTGGGGGATTTAAGGGTTTCTATGTATATTATCATGTCACCCGTAGTAGTGACATTTTTATTCTACTTTTCCAATTTCAGTCCTTCTTTGCCTAATTTCTCTACCCAGGACTTCCAGCAGTGGTGAAAGTAGGCTTTATACATTGTACCTAATTTTAGAGGAAAGCTGAGTTTCTCACCATTGAAAATGTTATTAGTTGTGTGTTTGTGATATATGGTTTTTATTGTGTTATGCTCCTTCTATCCCCATTTTATTGGGAACTTTAAGGAACTTTGAATCTTGTCAAATGCTCTCTCTGTATCTATTTGTGACCTATCTATATTATGATTTCTACCATTCTTTTTGCTAATGTGGTAAATTATACCGATTAGTGAGTATTGATCCATCCTTGCATCCCTTAAGTAAATCACAGTGTTCATAGTGTAATTCTTTTTATTTTATTATTGTATTTTGTTTACTAGTATTTTGTTAAGAATTTTATATTTTATTAATCAGGAATATTGATATGTAGTTTCTGGTTTTGGTATCAGAGTAATGTGGGCATCATAAAATGTGTTTGGAAGCATTTCCTAGTCTTCAATTTTATGAAAGCTTAAGAAGAGTAGGTAATTTTTATCTTTAAAGATATGGCAGAACTCTCTGATGAAATCAGCTGGTACTGGACCTTTGTTTTAATTAATCAAAAAGTCTTTGATTATTGTTTAAATTTCCTTGCTTATAATTGACCTGTTCAGGTTTTCCATTCTTCCTGATTTAATATTAGAAACTTACATGCTTTCAAAAATTTGTCCATTTCTTCTAGGTTATACAGTGCATTGCCATAAAGACATTTATAGTAATCACTTAGGATCATTTGTATTTCTGAGACATCTGTTTTTTTTCTTATCTCTTACCTTTTGTTTATGATTCTATTAGTGTTTTCTCGCTTTTTCACTTAGTGAGGCTTATTAATGTTTGTCTACTTCATTTATATTTTCAAATAACCAGCTTTTCCTTTTAGTGATCTTTTTAAGCTGTTTTTAAATTCTAATTCATATTTTCATTCTAAGTTTTATTATATACCTTTTCCAATGGCTCTTAGATTCATTGAGTTGTTCCTTAAGTTGTAAGCTTAAGTTATTTATATTTTTCATGGTTTGCAATGTAGTCTTTATTGCTACATTTTCCCTACAGTATTTTTTGTTGCATTTCATATTTTCTGATAGCTTCTGTCTTCATTTCTGTTGTTTCCAGGTGTTTTAAAATTTCTTCTTGGACTTATTCATTAACCTAGTAGATACTCATTAGCATATTGTTTACTCACCACATATTTGAGGTTTTCCCTCTTTCTTTTTGTAGTTGATTTCTAGGTTGATAATTTTGTGACCAAAGAATATACTTGATATAATTCCATATTCATGAGTTTGTTACCACTCATTTTGTCTCTCAACTTGTGATCTATCCTTGAGAATCTCATGTACACTTTTTGGCAGGTGGAGTACCCTATAAATGTCTTTAACCCATCATGTCTAATTCCTCATTGAAGATTTTTGTTTACTATTGGCCTGCTCATTGATGTTGGTAAGGCATTGAAATCCCCAAGTATTTTCATGTTGTTGTTAATGCCTATTTTAAGTTTGTTGATAATTGCTTTACGTATTTTGATGTTTCATTGTTTGGTATACATATATATTGATGAGTGTTATATCTTACCCATGTACTGGTCCATTCATTATAATGTCCATCCCATCTTTTATTACCTTTGCTAGCTGGAAGTTCATTTTATCTGATATAAATTCAACTCTCTGCCTTTATTAGGGCACTGTTTGCTTGTAGAATTGTTTCATTGTCTTAAACCTTTTATTTTGAGCTTGTTTTTCTTTGGAACATTGATAGGAATCCTAAAGATGTCTTCAGTTGGTGAGTTTGGTCCATTTACATTGAAGGTGATTATTGATATATGAGGATTTGCTACTGTCATTTTTGGCTTTCATTTTATGGTTATATCTGTTTATTACTGTGTTAATGGGTGTGTCTGTATGTTTTCTTTTCTTTGATTTAAACAGGAGAGCTTCTTTGAACATATCTCATAGGGACAGTCTAGTGTTGGCAAACTCTAGATAAGCATTATGAATCCCCCCTCAACCTCTTTCCAGCATAAATGTATACAAAGTGAATGGAAGAGGATTGATTATGATAAAAAAAGGGGAAGTTGTGCATTTGTATAGGTGTGAGTGCAATTAGCAAAAAGGAGAAGATACACATATATAGAAACTGTATTCCTTAATAAAATCAGTAATTGGTGGAATTAATCAGTGATTTAGAAGTCAGATTTGGGGGCAGATACTCAAGAGCATCAGAGTCAGCCTGGATAGGCGCTAATTAGATGCTGGTGTGACTCACTAAGTTGAAAAGGAAAGGCCTGCTCCACCTCTGGATGGCCAAAGCAAGTCTCATGATGGCATTACATAATCTATCGTCAGCACAGGGTTGCCCCATGGGGACAACCTCCTACCCACCTACTACTCAGACCAAATGCCTGTGAATGAAGTCCCTCTTCATCAAGCTGTCCTACTTCATTAGGGGAAGGAGTTGAATCAGATCATGACACACAATCAAGAAAAAAGTTAAGAACACATTTAATGAGGAAAGAACAACATTGATTCACTTATTTTTTGTTAAAGATTTATTTATTTCTGCATACAGAACTGGGGTACAGGCCAGAGGTGTAGGGGCTGTGAGAGGATTCACCAGAGACAGAGTGGGGAGCAGAACAGGCCGACTGATGAAGTAGATTGCTGAGGGGAGCAGCGGGCATGTCAGGAGAGATCTTCTGCACCCATGTGGGTCACCTCCGGGACAGGGATCAGACTCATGCTGTAGTGGCTTTAGCTTCTCAGTACCATGAATTAACCTGCTGCATCACCAGGGAGAGCCCGATTCACTTTTTTTTTTAAATCTGAAGTATTTCTTCAGATGGATCCTGTGCAGCTAAAATCAAGGTTCTAAACTTCTAAGACCCACAGTGAGACTCAGATGCCCAGAGTATTTGGGGAAGAAAGCTTCATAGCACACATTTCTAAGTGCAAGTGAGAAAGTACTGTGGCTCAGACTGACAGCATGCTAATGGCAAGTGGGGCTCAGAAGCAGAACGGAAAGGTGATTCAACATCCAGTGGTCACTCCTCAGGGCATGGCTGTGGAGCATATTACTTCTGCTTGGTCTTCTGCTGAGCAGGTGCTGGGGTGATGGTCGAGGGGCAGGGCTCTGGAGCCTTGGGGTGGCAGGGTTCTGGAGCCTTTGGGTGGCAGGGCTCAGGAGCCTTGGGGTGGCAGGGCTCAGGAGCCTTGGGGTGGCAGGGCTCTGGAGCCTTGGGGTGGCAGGGCTCTGGAGCCTTGGGGTGGCAGGGCTTAGGACCCTTGGGGTGGCAGGCCTCAGGAGCCTTGGGGTGGCATGGTTCCTTGGTTTTGGAGGCACATGGCTCCTGGGGTGGAGGCTGGCAGGGCTGTTTCACCTGCTGCTGCTGAATTTGGGGGGGTGGGGTGCAAGGTTGCTTCTGTTGCTGAGAACTCATGGTTCAGAGGCTGGACCTACAGAGAGAACAGTAAATTTAGACAGAGATTAACCATGGAAGAAGACACATTCAATGCTGCTTCTTTTAAGCAAATGTTCTTTCTCCCTCTCTTCCACAAAGGACACCTGGATGACTCCTGAGCCTTTGAAGAGGAGGAATGTAAAAGCAGTTGTTCTGTTTCACTTGAGCAGGGCCTTCCCCGGTTATCTCTTTCTTCCTGACGTATCTTTAAAAGCCCAGTTCCCAACACCACACAATGGCAGACTTCTGGTAAGCAAGCAAGGTCACAATATAGGATTCTAGGTAAATGTGTATTATTTGAAAAAAAAAATAGCCCCCCCAAAAAACAGTAATGCCAGCCCACTCATTCATTTCTGATAAGTAGAACAGGTTACACCTACAAGATAGAAGCTGGCTTCTTTAGAACCTGCACAATCTCACCTTAGGCCTCCTTCATACCTTCCTCTGCCTCAGCGTTTTCCTCATTCTGGCTAGTGTAAACATTCCCCACTATGATCACTTATCTGATGCTTTGGGGAGGCTTTTCTAGAACAAGCCTTCCAGAAATTGCCTGTCTTCTCAGACTGAATCACCCTTCCATTCTGCTTATGAAGCCCACTTGTCATTAGCATGCTGTCAGTCTGAGCCATAGTCCTTTCTCACTTGCACTTAGAACATACTGATGATGTTCTACACAATACTTTAGTTTTCATGCACATACCTCATCCTCCTGAATAAATTATAGTTTCATGGAGCAAATTCCCTATTACCTAAATAGTTTTTAGCAACCAAGTTGTCAAATTAAGAAAATCCTCACAAAATGATTTGCTGAAAGAATCAAATTCTCGGGCCCTCCCTGGTGGCACAATGGGTTAGGACACAGCACTGCAATCTACAGCCACTTCTGTGCCAGTCCGATCCCCAGCCTGGAGGTGATCCACAAGGTGTAGCAGACCTCTCCTGTCTTGCCCACTGCTCCCTTCAACAGTGTGCGTTGTTGATCTGCCTGTTCTGGTCCCCACTCTATCTCTGGCAGTGATGAAGCCTCTCGCTGCTTCTACACCTCTGGCTTGTACCCTAGTTCTGTATGTATAAATAAACAAACAAACAAATAAATAAATATATTTTTTAAAAGAAAGAATAAAATTAGAATTAGAATGTCACTGAAACTGTGGTCTTCAGTTCTGCTCCTTGTCCTAGTTCTGACATAGCAAGAATGATGGGGTAGAATGATGGAGTGATCTTAAATCCAAGTCCCGCCAAATCTAAACCAACAGCATGTTTAAAACAAAGATATTTCAATAGGCTATGATTCTAAAACAGAACTTCAATAATGGGGGCAAGGAAGCCAGGAATATCAAGAAGTTTCCAATCAAAATCATTTGAGTGAGTGGAAAAATTACAAGCTGAGAGACTCACCTGGTGCAGGGAAGAGCAGGCTATGTGGTCAATGGTGTCTGCTGTGGTGTCCCCAAGCCAGCTGGCCTTTTATACAGTGAAGGAGGCCTGTCTCAAGGAAATGGGATCTTTTGGGCCGCTGTGTTGCTTGTCAAACATGAATCACCTGCTCCCCTCATTTTCTGGTTGGCTCAGCTTTTGTGATGAAACCACCCACTTGACATATTTTTGGCACTGGCTGTCAGAGAATGATGTCACCTGGGCCTTATCCCACTGAAAGTCCTTGGTGCTCTCTTGTAGCATTTATGGTCAGGGTATTGTGGGCTGAAAGAAGAGAGGAGGGAGAAAATTCTGGGGCTTTTGGAACCAGAAACTGTTGCTTTCTGGAAGCCCCAATCCTTAGCACAGATGCAGCTTGTTAGGTGGATGTGGAGATTAGCAATAGGTATTTCTGCTTCTTCTAGAGGCTCAGGCTATGGTGGCATGAATTTCCCCAGATATAAAAAGTAATTGACCTGTTTATCCATCACGCAGTGTTTCCAGACCTGCAGAGGAAAGGAAAGGTCAAAATGATTCTTTTGGAGGTTAAAAAACATCATTCCAAGAATGGCCTTAAAACTGAGAGAGAACAGGGCAGGGAGACCCTGCGCAGTGAGAATGCTGTGGCAGGCAATCAGCTTCAGCAGGTGTAGAGTAGTGTGGCCCTCCGGGAGTCTGTCTGCTAATTCTGTCTAATGTGACAGCAGGCCTCGAAGGCTGTGTCTTTTACTGGATCCCCTCCGGGGACAACGCTGGGACATGAGGTCTGGAGTTCCCTTACCCTTTATACCAAGTTCACTTTGCTCAAGGTAATATAAAACTAAGGTTACAAATCCAGATACGCTTGAATACACACTGTGGTCTTTGGAAAATCCAACTCATTCCTCAAATCCAAAGAATTGGTGGTCCTTCTTTCTCTAGTTTGCTCATCCAAGTATTTATGGAGAACATTCTGGCACTACATTTGTGTCACCTCCCCTGCAGTTGAGCCTGTAAGCAGCCAACCACCCAAAGCATGTCCCACTGGGTCCTCCTTGTCATTAATGCTCCCCTCCCTCAGTGTTTGGTGTGTAGCGGCCATTGGTGGACAACTGTAGAGTGATTAGATGAACAGATGGCATAATTTGTTCTGAGACACCCAGAGCTGCTTTGAGAGCTACTGGGAAATCTCCTATAAAGGAAATGCTCCCTTGAGACAGGCTCAGTGTACTAGCTGAGGGAGGGCTCAGCAAGAGACAGCAGTTTCTGCTGCTCTCCTGACCCATCTGTTTCCTTTGCTGGAGGTTAAATAGTGACCTCGCTTAGTTAGGGCTGGGCGATGCCATCACTGAGCTGGAGTTCCAAGTTGTTTGCATCATTTTTGTTCTTTTCTAGACTGGGGTATAAGCCTCTCTTGACCCAAACCCCCATCATTGAAGGATCCTGAAGCCTTGCTACTGATCTGGATTCTCAGGCCGTTAAGGGGAAGGATGTCCTAAAGGAACTCTGCAGCCTTATGGACTCCACCCCCTACTCCAGATTTCTAGACACTATCCCCTACTCCAAGTGATTGGAAACTACAACTCCCAGAAGTACCAGGGAGAGAACTGTGAGGACCCAAGGGCGGAGCTAGCAGGAATTCTGGGACATTTGGGGGCTAAATAGGGTGCGATTGCATCTCTCGCTCTCTTGCTCGGTAAGCAGCTCTCTGGAACGTGTGACTCGGTGTGTTCAGTTAGCCTGGCCATAAGGTATTGCAGTTACTTTGTATCCCGCTTTCGTCCCCTGGGTTGTTTCCTGTTCCTTTCCCCTTTTGTGTGTACCTGCAGTGTAACTGAATTGTGAGCATGGGTGAGGCCCCTCAGACAGGCGGCCCAGTCCACTCTGGGCTACCCTGTAACAAGACCTGGGTAACTCACTTCTGTCTCCTTGGTGTTCTGTGGTCCAAAATGGACATAGTTGGTCAGGACCTCAGCTCTGAGATTAGGCCCCTGCCTCTCATATCTTTCCTGGATCCATATCCCTGGGTACAAAGGGGCTTTTATTTGCTATTCTCCTGGTTTTGAAGTGATGTACCTCACTTACACCTCTTCTCCCCACTTCCATCCCACCCCATCACCACCTTTTCCTTTCTAGATCCTGGAATTTTTCCTTTCTCCTTCAGCTGTTTACTCTAATGTGTACTGAAGAGTTGGATATTGAAGTTTTTTCCTGTTCTACAAGGAATCTCAAATTGTTCACCAGCAGTACTGGGTTGGCCAATGAATTGCTGATTAAGCCATATGGCTTCTGATTGGAACTTGTATCTCCCCACATGGATGCCCCTGACTTTCATTCCTGATGCCCTTTTCAGGATGCTGCTAATTTCTAATAGTATGCCTGACCTTTGCTGGCATTTCTAGTTGACTGTACTGTATGCCTGTTGGGGATCCCTACAAATTCTCTGCCCACATCTTATCCACACACTGTCAAGTGGCCCTTTCCATGTAGGCTTGGGCGAGCTCTGTGCAAAATCCCCCTTCCCTCCCTATAGTACTACAGCGTGGGATACAGGTGACACACAGCACTCAACCTGGGAATGTGGGGAGTTAATACACATGTAGCCTGGTGCTGGTGAGAGGAGTGATGGGACGCTCTTCCAGCTTTTCTCCCCAGGACAGAGTGCTCTCAGGCCATCCCTAAAGATCCTCAGTGGTCACATGGGCTTGACCACCACTAGTGCTTGGTGATGTACAAATATGATGCCTCCTTGAGTGGACAGCTCTTCCTTCTCAGTTATCTCCTAGTCCATTGTTCCTCTTCCCTGGAATCACTTTCCTAAATAAACTCCCTGCATGGAAATTTAGTATCAGACACAGCTTCCCAAAAAGCCAGTTTAAGACAATTATAAAATAGGCTCGTGAAATGCAGGGAACAGATATATAAACATACTCATTTAAGATGGAAATCAATTCCCAGAGCACAGAAAATCAGATGGATCACTGTAGGAAATTTGCACTTGACCGAAGTGCCTTCTGAGGCTCTGGAAAAGTTGACATGACTGAAGATTTTACTTTCTCAGCCTGAGTTTAGAATGCTATACTATAAGAGCTTTGGGGAGAGGCCTTTCTCTGTTAAGCTAATATTATCCCACAGACATCAGGGGTTGAAGTTTGTGAAGCTGGTGGGTTTTGATGAGAATTGGTGAAGGTGGAGGGCTGTGACAGGGAAGGTTTGTCACTGTGCTGTTCTGGCCCTGCCAGCTTCTGAGACTCTTTCAGTTTTGGGAAATAACATTGTTGGCCAAAGAAGGCTTTAAAAGAGAAGACTTGGCCAGGTGATTACTGAAGAGGTGGATACTTGGGAAAGATCTGGTGGTGGCTAGTGGTGGGCTTTGTGGATATATGCAAGCTACTAGGTACTTGGAGATGGTGATGTCAGGGACCCCAGAGATATGTCACAGGAAAGTCAGGTGATGTTGCAGGAGGCAACTGGCAAGGCCATTGCTGGTTGCTTAGAGGGTCTCTCTGTGGGAAGAGAGCAGAGCTCATCTGATGAGCGAGGACAGTACTTGTTGAACCCGTAAAGGTATTTATTCAGCATCTACAGTCCTCATTATGACTTTGAATTGCTCCCCACTTCCCTAGTAAGCATTTTTGCTTACTAGAAGTTTGTTTGACTAACAAACTTTCTCCCTCTAGATGCCACTATTTGAAATTAAAGCTCTTTCATATGCAGCAAACAAAAAACCAGAAAACAACATTGGATGAATTAAGGAAGATGGGCCGAATTCTGAACTTGTGAGTCAAAAATCTTTTTTCCTTATTTAACCTGAAGCTCATCTTAATTAAACAGCATTGGGAAGTGGTGGGGGCTGCTTGGAGGAAATAACCAGAGTTATTTCATTCTGCCTCAAAATCAACATAGGGGAATTCTTTCTCAAATGGACTCTTATCTTATTCTTCATTTTACTGTCATCTGCCTAACTTGCTTCTCTATAAATATTTCAAAATAACCCATCACAAAATAAAACCAAGTCATATTTCACACAATATCAATATCTTCTCACCCTAAAAAAAGGACACAAAAGCATGAACCATTATATATTTTCTTAGATTTAAAGCATAATCAGATTGCTTCACAGTAGACATGAATTTCAAGAACTCAGGCTTAGTCATGTGGGAGATTGCAGACTCCCAGGGCGGGAGGTGGAACATCCCAAGATCGAGCAGTTATTTCTCAAGCTAAAGGAGTGTCAGGTCATCTGAAAGGACAAGGTAGGAACGTCAGGTGATGCTGTGTCCGGGAACCTCCCCACCAGAATATGTTCTCACCCTTCCCAACCTCACAGTTACAATGAATTGCTGGTGGCAATGGAAAATTTTGAGGATTCCAAATCTAGATCAAAGGAACTCCTCCAATTCCTTCATTCATCTGATGCTCGAGTGCCTAAAATATATCAGGCAGTGTTCTAGACACTTGGGACACATCAGTGAACAATGACAAGGGTCTTTGAACTTGAGGGCACACACGCTTTAGGAGAGATACACTGTTCCTGGTCATAAAGGAGAAATACAACAGCCATGCAATTGTGTTTTAAATGCAAGGGGAAGAGAAATAGGAGAAGCAATTGAGAACTCCAAAGGGAAGGTTCTCTTTGAGTAGGTGATGTCGGAACATATTTGTAGGTGAAGGAGTTAGATATTATGAATCTGTGGGAAGACTACCATGTGAGACTATCTGAGGCAAACACTCTAAGATTGGGGTCCTGTCTTCTATGTTCCAGGGGTGCTGTGGCTTTACAGGAAAGAGTAAGTGAAAAAGAGACAAGGTCCCTCAGTTTGTCTTCTGCTTTTGCTCCACCATCAGCCATCCTCAGGATCTGTGAATCTTTATTATTTCATGGTGCCTCTATGGTCTTCAGAAACAATAAACTAGGAGTAAAAGACCTTAGGGAATGTTCCTTTATATGTCCAAATGCTGTGTAAATACTTGGATTTTCTTGTTTTTGACAGAGGTCAGGCTGCCTATGACAGTGGTTTAAAGCCCCATAT